TGTGTATATATATATATATATATATATATATATATATATATATATATATATATATATATATATATATATACATATATATATACATACATACATATATATATATATATATATATATATATATATATATATATATATAATATATATATATATATATATATATATATATATATATATATATATATATACATACATGCGTGTGTATACATATACATATACATGGATAGGCTCAAATATGAAGATCTATTTGTTCAAGTTCATTGCAAAGTATAGAGAAGTTCATCTCTAAACCGAGTTTCATTATACAGTGTGTGTGTGCTTTGTGTATGTTCATGTGTGTGTGTACACACACACACGCACACACACACACACACACACACACACACATATATATATATATATGTATATATACATACATACATACATACATATATATACACTCATATTCTGATTTTCCGGACTATGCGCGTTCTCTCTTCCTTGTATGTATCCTCGCTCGTAGGAGGGATATCGAGCACCCCTTCTATCGGTCGCGAATACTTTCGGACTTCCTGAAGGAGCAGCTCCCCAGCCATGTCTTGCAGCTCATAGCCGCCATTGCCCATGATTCTTCCCGGTCCCTCTTCACCATCCATGGCCGCTCTCTCTCTCTCCCAGAAGCTCTTCAGCCTCACCGCCCACAATTATTAGTCCCACTTCTCCCTCACTCATGCTGTCACCAATCTATCTTCCCTGCTCTTGACCCCCGACAGCAACAACCACTTGGCTTTTGTGTTTTCTTTGCTATCCGCCCTCCCCCTTACCTCCATCAACATTATTACATCCTTCGACCGTTTCGTCTCTATTCATAGGATTCCTTGCCTAAAGTCTCTCTCCTTCGTGATGATTTCATCCCGGGCCTCGAGTCCTTCCCCCATCCCAACCCTTCCATTCCTAGGCATTACCGAAAGGCCCTTCAAAGCCTGGTAAAGAGGATTTCACCATTTTGACTTCTAACAAGGGTAACTCAGTTGTGGTCCTCGACCGTGCCTCCTACCTGCAGAAGGCCCGGGACAAGTTGGATGACGCTTCCACCTATTCCCCCGTGACCAGGGACCCTGAGAACGCATTGCTGCTTCCTTCCGCCGTCGCCTGAAAGAGTTAACAGCCTGTTTTCCAAAGGTTCAACCCTCGTCTCCCTTATTTCTGTGGGCTACCCAAAACCCATAAGCCGACAGTACCTCTACGCACCATCATCTCCTCCCGGGGATCTTTGTCGCACCTTCTTGCAGCCTGGTTCGCAAAGTCTCTATTTCCTTTCTTGGCATTTTCTCTCCTGCTCACCTCCGCCACTTTAATGACTTAATTTCCCGTGCCCGTGTTGTCTCGCCGCTGTTCATGATGAATTCCCTATTCACCAAGGTACCGCTTGATGACGTCCTCGCTTTCATTCAAACGATCGTCCCCGTCGAGGATCCTCGTAACCTTCTGCCCACTGACAGCTTCCTTCAGCTGATTCGGTTGTGTGTGGAGTCTAATTCCTTTTTTCCTGTGAGGGTCGCTTCTACTCTCAGACATTCGGTGTTGTCATGGGCTTTCCTCTCTCTTCTGTCCTGGCTAAACTGTTTATGGAATTCTTCGAGTCTGAGCTCCTCCCTTCCATCTCCCTGGAGATGGAAGGGAGCTGCCGGTCAGCATCTCGAAAGTTCTTGGCTTGGTTGAATGACCAACGCACACAGGACTATTCCTCACCAATCTTATCTAGTTTGTCAGTAAGCTCATTTTCTCCCACGAAGCGTCTTTTCTGGCAAAAAAATCCTAATTGCTAATGTGAACTTATTAGTCAGGTGCAAGATACTGTAATTGGGCATGTTATTCGATGGGCTGTTGAAGATTACACTTGAATCTGCGGGACCACCACCCTGGGAACCACCGTGGACAACCTCCGTGGCCATTACAACTATTTTATCTTATTTTTTAAAATAGTATGAGCACATATACTTTGTTTCGTGTTTATACATTGTCATTAATGCCCTAAGGTATACATAGGTAGATATTTCGATTTCATTATATGAAAAAGCCTCCAGAACTTCAAGTACTTAACTGCTTGTCCCCGCCTCTGAGACGTTGACAAAGGGAGATAGCGAGAGAGTCACGATAGCACGGCCCAGCCTACAGGTACTCTCTCTCCCAATTGTCGGGTTAATTTACTTAAGCAAGGGGTATTCTAGCTGTAAGCCAGAGATTATTCACGGAAGACTGCTTGCTTAACATAGCCCTGCTGCAGGCATATATAGAGAGGCCGTAGTCGAGCCTTTTCTTTGTGTTTATCATTATTGTGTTTTACGGTGACGGACGGAGGATTCGAGGTAGTAATGAGATAATTAATGTGTACACCAGCTGTATATGTAGGCTTTGTTATTTTTTGTTATTTATGTATAAGTCCAAGCTACTTAATTAGATATTAGTTTTATGTGTTTGTTTTCTTCTTTTTGCGATGTTCTTTTTAGCAAGTTGTGCCCAAGCTCCTTTTGATTTCCCACACGGTGTGTTGTTTTAATTTATCGCGGTAACGGATTGTGAAACCCGGCTGTGCACACGTAAGATAATATTAGAGAACCAAAAGAGTTCAACATGTGTATATATAATGATGAGTGCTACCTGATAACCAAAGATATGTTGATGCATAGTATTTAAATTTCATGAACAATATTTGTCCTAAGCCCAACGTGCCTTCGGAGCGTGAATGTTGGTGCCTTGTCCGATGTACACTACTTTACACTGTCACTGAGTTGATATTTACAGATTGTTTATATAACTATAAATGTAATTTAACAATTTGGTTCATGGTACCTGCCCATTGATGATAGATAATGGGAAAAAAAAATCTTTTTTACAGGCTCCTTTCAGAGTCTAGGCATTGGAATAGCTACCGAGCCCGCCTCTTTCTCGTATCAGTTGGCTACTTTCATGGTGATACAAATTAGTTTGCCATATTTTGCTTCAACCAAAATGCGAAAAAATATATCTCTTTTTATGGTGAAGCGGTGTGTAGGCAAATGAGACAATGCAGGAGGTGTATAGAGATGGAAGTGGGAGGAGGGGAAACAACCCAAAAATGACAAGGGAAAAATCGTAGGGTAATTTGTATGGCTTCTTTTGGTGTAAGCAGCAAGTAGTGCTATAAAGAGTAAAATCTATGGGCATAAGAGGAAGGATTTTTACATGTCTTCTCTCTGGTAATAATCTCTATCTTCTTTGCTGGTAAATTACAGTATTCTATTCTGTAACTTCATTTAGCTATTTATAAAGTATTTAAAAGATATTTTATAATGAAATGCATGTGAAAATAGTATGAGATTATAGGGAAAGGTTCAACTTTGATTTTAAGACTTAAGAAGAGTTAATAAAACGTAACAGTTGAATTCAAAGATAGTATTGATATAAGGGTAATAAATCATTGTTTGGAGTTCTGTACGCGAGTTAAATTTATCTGTAAACGCACGACAGACTATGATTTTTTTTTTTTCAAATAAGAATCAGGAATTTACGTGAATAACAAGTACGCTACATGTGTTTTATCAAAAGGCAGATAGATGATGAATAAACACAGTCACAGCCAGACTAATACATTCGAATTTGTATGTATTTTGATAGTCAGTATGTGATCCTTTGAATAAAGGTCCACATATACTAAAATATTGCCATATATTTCAATACGCGATACATGATAATGGCAATAATGATAGTAATAATAATAATAACATCAATAATAATAATAATAACAATAATAATAATAATGATAACAATGAAATCATCATCATCTTCATCATACTGATAATAATGGTAATAGTAGCAAAAACAATAATAATGATAATGATAATGATAATATTTATAGTTATAACTATAATAATAATATTTATAATGATAACTATAACAATAATATTTATAATGATAACTATAATAATAATCATTATAATTATTACTACTATTATCATTATAACTATAATAATAAGTGTGACTTTTTCTAGAACTAGTTAGCATTTTCAAACCCATCAAGAGATTCCAAGCGATATCTGCCAACGAAATGTATCAGGGATAGTCATATGAATAAGCACCATATGAAAGTTCCTTTTCATTATTATTGTTATCGTCACTGTCACAGTCATTGTCATTGCTATTATCATTTTCATTATCATTATTTGTTATATCACTCGCCATTTATGATGGTCTGTATTACCACTATGTGAATAACAACTTTTAAAAAGTAATGGTATAGCATGGTGGGTATGTGAAATTCCATTAATTGCATTATAATATTTGCATGTGGTGTGGCATTGTGTGTAAGGCAGTTGCCATAATAACCATATTATGTCTTGTGCATGTATTGTTCAAGCGATATGCCCGACGGCATCGATGCTCCGCCCACACGACTTCTGATAATTGTCCTCGGCGCTGCAGATAAAGCCTTATACGGTCATACACACAAATATGTATATGAATATATATATATGTATATATATATATATATATATATATATATATATATATATATATATATACATACTAATATATATATATATATATATATATATATATATATATATATATATATATATATATATATATATATAATTATAAACATATAAATACATGTCTTTATAAATATAAGTGTGCATAATATATATATATATATATTTATAAATAATTATAAACATATAGATATATATGTGTATATATATATATATATAAATGTGTATGTATATATATGTACACACATACAAACACACACACACACACACACATAAAAACACACACACACACAACATATACAAACACACACACACATACAAACACACACACACATACAAACACACACACACACACATACGAACACACACACACACACACACACACACACACACACACACACACACACACACACACACACACACACACACACACACACACACACACACACACACATACACACACACACACATACACATACAAACACACACACATACACATACAAACACACACACACACACACACACACACACACACACACACACACACACACACACACACACACACACACACACACACACACACACACACACACACACATTTTGTTATGCTATTATTTATATAAAAAAGTCTTTTCATCAGGGTAAATGCTAATGATGCAAATAACTTTTTTCATATATATGGTTCATCTTATCATAGGTGGCTGAGTTCTATTTATTGCTTATATCATGTAATATGGTCCCTAAGTGAAAATACTACATACTTATTGAATCTTCATTTTTTTTTCTACAAACAAAATACTAAAAAAATAGAAGAGTACATCATTTAGATCAACTTACATGTGTACATACTTTATAATCTTAAATTTTAAAATATCATGTTATAGTCTAGTGCTATAGTATACATTATTAAAAATCCTCATATGGTTCTATAAATGACAAATATACACATTTCTGAGCAGTTATCTAGTTTTCCATGAAAACATTTAAGGCAAAGAGATTGCAGCAAACAATAATATTTTACCAAAAACACAACCTGTTGGCAATAGTTTTTACTGTGTTGGAAAGAACAGTATTACTTTACACTTCTCTGTTCTCTTAACATTTAGACTATTAAAAAAAAAGTTTATTAAAAAAAAAAGAAAGAAACTGAATATAATAACAACATGAGTATAATATGACATTCTCCGCATATCAGTCTGCATGAAACTGAAGTAGCACTCTTGGATAAGTTAAAATATATTTCTCTGTTGAAATAAGTCTCTAGCTACCAGTAGCTTAATTTGAAATATGGCTTTTGAGTATAATCAATTTGAAATAAGCACTTAAAGTAAGATCACAAAAAAAATGTGTCTCAAGCCGAATTAAGATAAACTAAATCTGGAGTTGACTTTAGTCTTTCGAAGGAAATTAACTTGATTCACAACATATGTAGAATTACACAGCCATTGGCTTGAGTTGCTCTCCCTCTGGTGTGGTTACAGGTGTAGGGTTTCTTCGAGCATATATTGCAAACAACATCCACCTGAAAAGAAAAATAATTTTGCAATTTATTTTCTTTTTTATAGATATTTGGTAGCAAACTCATCACACATTACATTTGAGTAATTCTATTTCAAGCAGAGTTTAATCAAGTCTTAAATAAATCAAATGCTCAAACTGAGGGGCATATGAATTTCAACTTACGCTGTTGCTACAAATATAAATGAAAGGATGATGAGGAACCCAAAAGTAGATCGCGTTGGTAAAATGATGATAAGGATTGAACGCAATAAGTCAAGTGACTGGTTAAGTGATGACTGAACACCATTAATAGCTCCTCTCTGGCCATCTTCCACGCCCTCTTGCAGAATCTGTGTCACTGTCAAATCCGCTAGCCACAAACCTACAGGTTACAGTGAAAATTGGTTATGTGATGATATCTATTGAATTATATATCTCATAATTATATAAAATTATACTTATGGCCACATGCAATATTCTTACATGTTTCAATATTTCCTGAGGAAAAATGATTTTACAAGGTCCAGCCCTAATTTACTATTTTAAAGTAAACTGGCATTACTGGGAATGGGATGTAACCTGCTCTTAGTTATAGGACATGAGCTTCACAGAAGGTGAATAAACATTTTCAACTAGCTGACAGTGGCTTCACAAACTAAATGAGAAGTATTCACCTACCATGTTTAAATACCTCATAATTATCTAATATTTATTCTGAGAGTAGTGACTCATTAATACAATACAAAAACCTAAGTACAAAATAATCCCCGGGCCTTACCAAATCTTGATGTAATGATTCCAGTAAGAAGTAGAATAACCGATGTGTACACAATTTCTTCTCCAGCTTCAGGGTTTGGGCTTTGATTTAAAGGTACATCAAGAGTCACGGTCCCATTTTCCTCTGCCAAAGTGATATTCGTTCCACCTGACAGTGTGCTTATATTGTATGTTAAGTACGCTGGAGCTTCTGTTGAATTATTGCCCTCGGCTATCCTGCTGTTAGGTAATAAGGCTGAGGCATCGAATGGACTGCCGGGTGCAAATACCGATGCCACACATAAAGACAGGCAGACTGTTTCAAATCCAAAGCCAACTAAGCCAGTCTTAGATATACCCACCTGCAAAAATAAATATTTTTCATAATCTGAACAATTCTTTCTAAACAAAATTTCATCAATTGCACACAGTTATATTTTTCATGACTGATAAATAACTTACTCTCTTTCTGAGAACAGGAAAGGCCAAGGATCCAAAAATCCCAGACAGGGATGCAACAGCCGTTAGAATACCAAGAATTGTCTCTGGTACACCAGACTCATACACAAAGGCTGAAAATTAGTAAAAACATATGTAATTAATGAAAAGACTAAACATCTTCCTCTTAACACTGAAAACAATAGTACTGTAAGAAGAGGGAGACAATTAAAATTAATAAAAACATAAAGAACACTAAGAAAGATATAATAATGGCAAACATGAAATAGAACTTCACTAATGTGAGGTATATCCCCTTATATAAAGATCATAATCATTCTTAACACTTAGTATCTGAGGTTAAGTCATTCCACTCATCTCAAGGTATTTATATGCTGATTCTGATATGAAATAAGTTTTTCCCTTAATGATATACATAAATTCTATCAAATCAACAAGACAAAGGCCAGTCTATCACAGAAATTAAAGACATACATACTATAATTATACAAACCTGGACATGCATAGAGTAATACTAGAAATTCTCATTTCCCTCAAACTTATTGCTACTTATAAATATTATCAATATCAAGTAGCAGTGTATGTGTGTGTCTGTGGGGGGTGCATTTACCTCTAGAATAATTGTCAAATGCAAGCACTGTCATAAACAGGAATGCAAGACCAAGCCCAGCATCTCTGACTGGATGACTCATGTATGCCTTCCATGCTCCCCATGCCGAAATGATACGCTGTATAACCACATGCCTTTTCTTTCTCTTCCTTTCCTGAATTTCATTATCATTTGCTTCTCCTTCTCTTTCTTCCTCTTTAGCAGTCTCTTCTACCTAAAATCATAGATCAGAGTTTAAGAATAAGTAATGAAGTAATGAGTGTAATTAATCAAAAAAATAATAATTTCTTGATGGTTATGATAATAATACTTTACTTGATTCATATAATAATATTGACAAGAAGACGATTCCATGCTAAAGAATGCTAATTAAAAACCATTTCGTTCCTCATAAACAAAATTTAAGCTTGTTAATGTCTGACATCTTTGAATTACTGTTTGCATATCATTAGTGAATCCTGACAAAAAGTCATTATCAAGAGTTTTTGCAAACGAGAAAAAAATCCCTCCTTCAGTCCTTGAAAACATTGTTGACAAATTACTCTTTGTAACAAAAATCAACAATTCTTTTCAGATTCTATTTTCTCTACTACATTTTATATATATATATATATATATATATATATATATATATATATATATATATATATATATATATATATATATATATATATATGTATATATGTATATATGTATATATATATATATGTATATATATATATATATATATATATATATATATATATATATATATATATATATATATAGACATATTTATATATATATATATATATATATATATATATATATATATATATGTATATATATATTTATATATATATATATGAATTCTTATCTTACAGTTTCTTCAACTCACAGAAACATTCTTTGACTTTTGTAAATCAGGTGATGAGTAGTAGAGATGATGCAAGAGCCCATATTCTACCAGCAGTGAGCCGACATTCCACGCAGCAATCACTATGCCTCCAGCAGCCAGCCCAAAAGCAGTCATCACAGTTCCAACAATGACAGGGGCTAACACTTCAGTGCTGAGGTCTACTGTTCTTAAAACACTGTTCATTCCTATAAAAGATTGAATGTAGGGCTTATAGAGGATATGCATTATATTTGTTGTTCAGTTTATCCGAAAAGGTTTGTGGGATATGACTAGTGGCATTGTTAAAGGTGGGTATTTAGTGCATCAGCCTTGAAAGTTATTTTGATATCCCCAGATCTGAATGAAAAAAAAAGAAAACTATTTCCATTTTTTATTTCACAGTGTAAACACTACCTGACTTATACCTTTAGGTAAAGCATAGTATTACAAGTCTTATTTTCATCTAATATTGCATTTTTTGAATTTGAATTGTGCAGTTATAGGGTAAAAATTTACAGATTTTTTAACTGTGTTAAACCTCTGGACATGACTTTTATGAGTTACACATTTTCAAATATCAATTACCTATGCTCATGGTAAAAAAATATACAGTAGAGCCAAACTTAACACTGTTTTGTCTATGTTTCTGGTAAAAAATATACAGCACAACAAATATAACAGTTTTCTAATGCAAACTGGTCTGCTGCAGCAAAGAACAACACATTTCCTTGACTAGACCAAATTTCCTGAGTATTATGTAAGCTAACCAAAAGCTTAAAAAATATGCAGAAGTGATACCACAGCTTTTGGTATTACCTCTCCATTGTCTGTACCCACACCATCATCAGTATGACCTTCACACATACCTGACAGAGAAGGGATACCATAAAACACTTATGCATATGACAGCCCACCCAACTTGGTCCCTTATTCACGGGGCTGAATTTGCATCTGTGAGGGCCCAAGGGACAAGCCTCTTGTGGAGGATCCCTAACCAATGATTTTCAATACTTTTTAATGCCAGTCATAAAGGGTCCCTTAATAGTGCATTCATGATATTGATTATTTTTCTATGGACAAGAAATATTTACATCTCTGTGGGACCATACACCCTCCTTTAATCCAGCCCCACTTATAAACCTAGGCATTTATTCCTTCCCTCAATTGCATCTATTCATCAAGGTAAGTATTCATGTATACTATATGATTGAGAGTATGCTTAAGTTTGCAGATGAAGATCTCAAAAGGATTAGCTCTGATGAATGAAACCAATTTTCCGACTTCCCAGCAAAAAGTTTTACAAAAATTATTCTAAAAATGTAATTTTGCAATTATTCTAATAATGTAATTTTGTAATCATTCTAAAAATGTAATTGATTCTATGGTTCTCACAGAATCAATTAGGGAATGTTAAGAATGGCTCCACTGTAGTAATAATAATGGCAATAAAGCCATGTTATATACACAAAAGGAATAGAATAAAAGAAAATGTGCAATTCATTTATTTATTCATTTGCACAACAAATTCTGTTTTTATTTCATTTACCAAATATAACAAACAACTATATCAAGTGGATACTTACTGGCTAATGTTGTTTTATCTTTTCCGCATATCACTATGATCCAGTCCTTCTCTATGGCTAGTTTACATCCTAAAGTTCCAATCTGAGCTAGACATGCTGAAAAGATCACTCCTGCCTGCATAACAGCAATATTATTACAAATACATATCATGCCTAAAATAATATTGATTCAGAAGACGTAAAGTATCCTCAAGAGTCCAGAATATATGGCTCAGCAACCAATATGAAAAAAAAAACTTTCAACGAAACTCTGCAACTTATGGTGTGTTTGAGCAGATTAAAAAATCAACTCTATATTTACTGTCAGCCAGAAATTAGAACAATGCTAGAAATAATCATCAAGTTTAACACTAAAATTAATGCAGTTTACTAACACTCAAATATTGCAATATAAACTTTAAACTCACCTCTGCCAAGATTAGGGACCACCCATCCCAAGCAGTGAAATATTGCCGCTGTGTTGTGATCACTACTAGGAGAGCAGCACAAACGCAAACCATAAGATTCTGGACGCTCAGACTTATCTGGGCCGCTGTAGTAAAAGTGATGATCAGTCAATTTCATAGTTGGAAGCTCTTACCAAATAATTCATGCGAGAAATAAGAAAATGTTCCTTCAAAATTTCCTATGTTCATATTAAAGATCTAGAGAGGGAGAGAAAAAAAAGTATTTCATTAAACTTTCTTCTGGGAAGATATCAGAAACTTACTTCTGAGTCTTGAGTTATTGTCAACCCATCGACCAATAGGAGCTCCACATAGAATAACAGTTACAGCAAGTGCAGCTCCATAAACTGCTGCCAAACGAAGGGATCCTGGCGTGACCTGTTGGTTGTGGTGAATGAAATATATTGTGACCCTGTCAAGTTTCAGTAATATCAAATGATTTTTTTTCTACAAATATACAATCCTCAGAAAATTAAATGAAAAGAGAAGCAAACCTCAAGAGAAACAAAATTATAGAAAGGGAGCAAGGATAAAAGGCAACAAAAAACAGAAACTAAGAAAGAGATAAATATAGAAATGATATAAATATAATGTCACTTACTTCTAGTAGAAAGAGACCACCAGCAAACATCCACATGCGATCACCCCAAGAAGAAAGGAAGTGTGATGCATATACTTGGAATTGAGCGGACCTTAACACACTGCAGCAGGTTTTCTTGCTTTTACTGCCCTCCTCATTGTCTTCAGAAAAAAAAATGCAATATCACACAAGAGAACCATTTTAATTCCTCTATATTTCAACACATTAAATTGTTTTCCGCAGTATTTAACAAATTCCTATGACATATCTGTATCCGTATAGTATAAGAAAATTAAATTGTAAACTTACCTCCTTTTGTATGAGTTCTTGCTTCTCCCCCAACTGCTCCATTACTTTCCGAATTATCCATATTTTCTTCTGCTCTCCCAGGCTCATCAAGCTTCTTATAGGTCTCCTTAGGATCTTCATTAGATGCAGATGCTAATTTATCAACATTATTAGGTGATGAAACTTCCATGGATGTAACTGTCATCTTGATAAATACTTATTTGACCTGGAAATAAAGATAATTTTCAATACACTGACATAACAACTCCTACAGTGTAATTTCTGAGTACAGAAAAGCAGATATAATGTCCCTCTGATAGTTATATATATTAATACTTGTTCACCCTCACTAAATTAACTAAATCACATGATATGATAATCACATATTATCATTCCTCTCTTTCTATAACTATCATTATGGTCATTAGTGACTGATACTGTAATAATTGTCAGATTAAATGGTACAGTACAAAAAACATTAGCACCAATATTATTGATATATTAGTCATAATGATTACCATAACTACTACCCTGTTGTCATTTGTTATCAACATTTTACTATTTCATGATAATGAATGGGTGGGTGTGTGTCAAGAAAGATGGATGGATAGATGGATGGATAGATGGATGGATGGATGGGTGGGTGGATGGATGGGTGGGTGGGTGGGTGGGTGGGTGGGTGGGTGGGTGGGTGGGTGGGTGGATGGATGGATGGATGGATGGATGGATGGATGGATGGATGGATGGATGAATGGGTGGGTAGGTGGGTGGATGGATGGATGGATGGGTGGGTGGGTGGGTGGGTAGGTGGGTGGATGGATGGATGGATGGGTGGGTGGGTGGGTAGGTGGGTGGATGGATGGATGAGTGGGTGGATGGATGGGTGGATAGGT